TCAATATGATGGCAGCGATGTGTTAATAATAATCTGAAATATCAGTACTCATGTCCACTGTTGTTGTAGACATACTACAACAATCACAAATTGGGTTGTCGTGTTAGTAACAGCGCAAAATTTAATACAGTAATTATAAAATTCATATAATCTTATTCAGAAAATAGTGAATAAAAAAACAAAAATTAAATCGATACTTTTTTCAAATGTAACAAATTGGTGAATTTGGTCGGTAACGAGGATTATATTATTATAGCATACTTTCCAATAGAAAAACTAAGCATACCAATATTTGGTTGTGATGAATTTTCAATTTGTCACCAGTTAATATTTTAAGTCTTTGCGTACAAATATAGTGATATTTACACGCCTAGATATTAACATCACTTAACAGCAACAAGTAGCATAACTCAAGCCCTGTTAAGACTATGTTTTTATTAACAATAAATGCCAGCATTTTGCAAGGATCTTATTGTGGCGACGCCAAAATGAGCGACATGAATCTTATAGCAATCTGCCTCAGGGCTACTCTTTGACAGACTCTGGTATAATTTCTTAGCAGCAACCGAAGATACCACCACTTCTAGAAATTTGAAATATTTCACGCCGATTTCGATTTTGTGCGGTTTTAACGAAAAAAAAATAGACGTAACGCCGCGTTGCGGTTTAGTATGTTTTGTCGAGCCCCCCGTATTACATATTAAAAAAGCACTACGTATTAAAAAAACGGTTGAAATGAAATTACCTTTTGATGTAAAGTTGTTGCTGGTTGATAACAGTGCTTATAAACGCCATTAGCATTTATTAAATGTGAATAATCGTGATAGCTGTGTGCCTTTATTTAAAAGATTGAATATACTACCGCTACCTTGTTTGTATATTTATGAAATTTGCATTTTTATACAGAAAAATCCAGATCTGTTTAAAAAAAATTGTGACGTTATAAAAAGAACTTGCCGAAATAAATTTAGATTATATGTCCCATCTCAACGATTGCAAGTTAACAGTAAGAGTATCAACTGCATGGCCGTTCGTATCTATAATAAATTACCAGATGTATTGAAAATTGAGACTCTCCGCTCATTTAAAACTAATTTGTTTCTTTTTTTACTTGACAAATGTTACTACTCGGTAATTATAATATTACATTACAGTACATTATAATATTTTATTGAAAATTAATTCATATGTATAATTGTATTTTTTTCACTTGCTTTAATTTTACATTTTTATATTTAACTATTGACATTTATAATGAATCTATGACATAATTTAATATAATCTGACATTTTTATGTAATATTTGTACGCCAACTAGGCAGATTTTTATTGGAACTTAATTTGGCTATAACACCTTTGCATATGTTTTGTATACCCAAAAATTTGACAAATAAATGAATTTGAATTTAAATATGTCATGACTCACGCGAGAGAGAGATATTACATATGCCATGTCAAGGCATAGTCTGGGTTCATGGATAACTTCTATCGTTGTTGAATGCCTTCAACAAAACCGTGAAAATGAATGGTACCATTTTCCAGGCCGAGGTATACGCCATTTTATCATCATCGCCCCTTTTACGTCCCCACTGCAGGAGCTCTCGCCATTCTTATTGTGGGTTAAGGAGGAGCCATTTTATAATGCGTAGAAACAACTGAAGAATTAATGAACAATAAATAAAATATATTGTATGTAAAATAGCAATACAAATAAAATTAAACATTAATACACCAACTTTCCTATTTGTATATAAAATAATAAAATCATGAAAAAATATATATAAGTTTCAATAAATACTATTCACAACCCTTACCACAGTCCAGATAGATTGAAAGAAAAAAAATATTTAAAAAATGTTGATAATATGTAAGGAACATTTAAAATAACTTAAATTGTTTATCATACAAATCTGTAATAAGCTACCATATACTAGGAACTAGAAATACAGTATGTAAGTTACTTATATTGTCCCTTAAAAAAGTTGATATAATAAAATTTCCTCAAGATAAATAACGTAACATTTCTATATAAATCCTTACATTCATTTACATATTGTTCTCGATCATTTTCTTCACAAATATCATATTTTCAACAGATATTTGTAATTAAAATGTATATCTCAAATACAAATCGATTAGTGATTACAACAATGAAAATAATAAATAAATAAGTCCGATATATACAGAAACAGCAGCCTTAAAAACTATTTTTAATTAAGGTACAATATATGGCTATATCAATTTAAGATGGCACAGCAGTTTAGGGCTTTGCTATTCTGTTAATAATAGAGCACACTGTCGCAGACTATGAGGATTAATCAAATATAACAGACTTTAAAAGATAATAAAGGTTGTCTGTGTTCGACGCCGTATTTTTAACAGATCTGCGAAATTAATTTGAAGATGTAAATAACTCATAATATGAACTGTTTTCTTATTCTGAGTTAACAAGTTACAATAAGCCACTGGCGTTTTCTACGCGTTGGCGGTGCTCAAATCTGTCCTGCTAACTTTGCTGAACGCAACCTTAATTGTGCTTTTTAGACTAAAATTAGTTAAAAGAAAAAATTGATATATTGAACTCGTCGTAAAAATAATTAATCTGAATTTTATTATTACATCTATTATAATAAACGACGGTGCGCGTCGTTACATTGATAATATAAGCATGAATAATTAACCATTAAAAAAATTATAAAGACAACATCATGATGAATGAAATGTAGCTTACGCGCTACAAAAACACAAGAATCGCAAACGTGTAAAAAACGTCTATAGTTACAGTACAAGCACGACGATGCTTCATGAAAAAAAGAATAATACCAAATTAAATCATAATTAGGTACTTCGATTCATCCAACACCATGTCGAATCAAATCAGTATACGACAATAATTTATTTATGTTCTATTTTTAAATTTTGTTTTCCTAGTCACTTTTGTTTCTGATTAGTCTGATTACAGAAAAGAGAGATGCAATTTTAATATTTGCCAAAATATTGTACATTAATGATAAATTTGTATTAATTCTTATCCATAACAATAATAACTAAACCATGAAAAAAAAGAATAAACATATAATTTGTATAAAATATATGAGACGTTTTTTTCGTCCACTACATTAACTAATAAGAAGTCGTTGTAAAATAAATAAGTGTCGACGCATATTTAACGGAAGAACCGAGCATATTATCTTTATCATAACGTCAGAACTGTCAAATATAACGTATAACCTTGCAGCACAGTTGCACGCTTATCAATCAGTATGTCGATGGCAAGCTTAATGGATCTTCCGTCAAATAAGCACTGACATAAATAAATTAATGCACGTTTTCACGCCTACATATAAAAGAATCGCCTAAGATGAAAATGTGTTTCACCGATGACTAGGCAGCATCTAACAACATTAAACAATGTCTAAAGATTTAACGTCTTATGCGGCGGTTTGTGGTAATAATTTGCATAATGTGACAGATAAAAAATCAATTTGTTTATTTAGAATTAAACAAACCTGCTTAGGTCATTCTTGTGATAAAGAGTTTCCTAATTAGACCATGACATGGTTAGTGAAAACGAGTTTATGTAGCATAAAAATAGTAGCTGTCAAGTTTTGGTTGTGATGCATGAGCGACGTATAACGAAAACAATTATTAACAATAATAATAATTGCATAATATGCGACGTTACAACTACAATTATATGGTTATATTTAAAAATTAGAAAAAATATTTTTGCCTTTGGAAGACTAGCCTTTTTTGCTTTATGGCACACCAATTTAAGGGTCAGTGAAAATCTTATCCTGAATTATACGAGTACAAGACGGATCTTACGACGATATATATTTCAGTTCTGACGTTCCGCTCCCCAATAATTACGCAACGCATGTTCCTTCAGATATGCAGCGACCTTTAGCAAAAATTGCTAGGGTCATTTTTATTATAGTTCAAATTTGTCACATCCCTTATTCTACTACGCACGTATATTCTTTAATTCAAATTTACAGCATGTTTTGACGTAATAAAATAAGACATATTCGCACTTTTACAAACGTTTCGTTTAAATAAAACAAAACGTCGAGATAAATTAATAGTTTTAAAAAATGCACGAACAAGACCCGATTACATATAATTATAAAGCATATATTTTATTCAGAAAACAAACATTTATAGCCTATTACGCAATACAGGGTTATTTGCAAAACACAAGCAACCGTGCAGGATTATATTTTTTAACAGTTCGTTCTAAGTTTAATTCTACATACAACACCAAAATTGTAGATTAGCGTAACGGCGTCCTATCGACAATTAATTAAACATAGACGAATAATGTCACGACAGCACAATAAAAACTTAAAAAAACATATTATCCAAAGTATTGAGTTATTTTAAAACTTTTCACTCAGATATTGTTGTTTATGATATTAGCTAACTAGTCCAGCCAGTTTGCTGGTGTGTTAAAAATAACCCTGTATTAATATCTTGACACGATAATCATTATTTGTATTTATTCTCACATTGGTAAAACCTATTTGATTCCTAGGCCACTGTAAATCCTTATCACACTAAGAAATTGATATTCTATAATGCACCTTATTGTTTGAGGCGAATAAAAAAAATATTTCAATATATAATAAGATTACTTACATCTAAAGTGATAACTTTTTTACTTTAGGCTCGTTTTTATTGCGCTAACTACCAAACATCTAATAGTTTGTCATAATAATGTTAAAAAAACTAATTAATTAGTATTTAAATTCATGTGATGATAGAATATGTGACGTAAAATTTGTTAGTAATCAATAGGTCAAAGGCCTGAAACGACCTAGGAATGAAGAGGGGCATTACACATACCTACTTATTTTTAAAACGAAAGACTAGTTACAGAACTGTAGTTTCTGCTGTTCCTATCGTATTTGAGGGAAAATGAAGGTAGTTTCAGAAATTCCACAGAAACTATCAGGTGTGCGCGTGCACCTCAAATAATAATTACATAAAAAAGTGATGTTACTGATCTTCGTCACCCGGCTTCGGTAGATAATACATTGAATCGATAAAATATTTTGTTATATCTGATACTAAACTTCTATCCGATATCTCCTGTGCTACCCCATAGATCGCCATCTAAAAATTTAAAAAAAACATATGTAATATAATTGGATCTCAAGGAAAAAAATATTATCACTGTTAGTGAGTGGTAATTATGTAATACGTGAGTGCAGATGTACAGATTGGTGTCAGTGCGAAATCTTACTAGAAATTTCGAAATTTTAAAAAATCAAATAGTTATCAAATAAAGCCACAAGCTGCTTAAAAATTGCAGCTTTTCATATGCATGATATATATCCAATATATATCAAATATGTGATAGGAGATTTTGATATTTGATAGCTAAAAGGCGTCATTCAATATTAATGGACGTTTATGCAACTGACCGATAGTGTAGTGACTAATATGGTAGTAAAGTGAGTATGTAAAAGTATAGCATGTAATACTATAATAATATGCACTGTAAAATAGTATTGAACAATTACATTTTTCACTTAGTTGACTTTATAATGTTTGTTAATATTATGCACTATTGTAACAAAACAGCTTTGAGTAAGAAATTGTGTCGTCGATAGTGTAAAAAAAAAATTACATTGGACACATCTTTATTTAACAACACAAAGTTCTCATATTCATAAATTGAAGTATAATGAATAAGAGGGTGTTTTTATTTATTTAGATTTACCAAGGAAAAATGCGTAATAAACATAACATCATTATTATCATATATAAAACGACTAATACTAAAACAAAATCATTGATTAAATTTACTAAAAACACAGCAAGAACGTCAATTTTATTATTGCAGTGATTGTAAGAGCATGTGTGATCGAAGCAAACAATTTGTGCCACTGATATTGAAATGAATTTGTGGATTTATTACAGTGCATTGAATGTATCATATTATTGAGTAGCCCGGTGGCATAGTGGACAAGTGCCGCGGCCTGCGATCGTTGTCGTTAAGCATCTTTCGCAAGGGTCGGTCACGGGATGGGTAACCAAAAGATTATTATCTCGAGCTACTCCCAACTGCATCAGCAATCGTTAATACCCTCCGATTCGCATTGGTGCAACGCGGAGTGTTACGGCCCATCCATAAGGAAGGCCTGAGCCCCTGCAGTGGGGACGTAAAAAGGCTGATGATGAATGAATGAATAAGTATGTGATAAGAGTGAGTATATAATGAAGCAGTGAGTGTGTGGTGGATGGAGCAGTGAGTGTGGGATAGAACAGTGAGTGTAAACAGTGTGGCCTCACCTTTCCTGTGCAGGGTTCGCTAGAGGCGAGCATACATCGGGCAGCTGCATCGCGGATATCATCTATCAGTCGCGTCGCCACGCCCGGGTGTGTATGCGCGTGCGTTACCGAAATATGTAACCTAATAATAATTAATAAAATGAATTTCGAAATGTGTTACTAAGCTCAAAACTCGAGACCGATTGATCCGATTTAACTATGTGATAAAGTCTAAAGGTTTTATGGAGAGAAAAAAAGTAACGTATAAAAATTTTCCTTTCTCATACAAACCACTCTGTCCGCAGCTATCAAACGTGCGTTTTAGTATGTTTTAGAGAAATAGGACAGTACGATGTCTGCCGGTACAGCTAGTATCTAATAAAAAGCGGGCCAAGTACTACTCGGACTCGCGTACAAAGTATTCCGTACCATTATCTTAAAAAAAAGAAAATCACAATGTTAAAAGGCGGTCTTAATGCCTTAGGCATTTAGTTATTTCATAAGATTTCAGCCTGATGACAGACAGACGGACAGACGAACAATACTAAATCGATAGATTTTGCGTTTATACGATACGGAATAAGAAATTTTTAAATTTGGTAAAAAGTATGTTAGAATAACTTGAATAATTTAACCGAATATCTATCTAATTAGCACCAAACTGGTTTCTACTTTATATTAGCCGAAGCAACATGAAATTATACTACAAATACACTTATTAATTGCACGTATATATTTTACACGTAACAAGCTCAAATCAAGAGATAATGATAAATAATTTGTTTGATTTGATAAGTGGAGATTCCAGAAACGAAACACTTACCCTGATGGAAACTGTAGAGCACTTAAGCTCCATCCTTTCTCGTGCATGGCTTCCGCCAGTTTGAAAATATCGAACTGTTTAGACCCGAAAGCTATCACCGAAGTAGCTGGTTTGCCGTATATAAAGATGCCGTTAATTTTACGCAACCTTGAAAAAAAAGTATTTTCTGTTACATTGTGTTGAAACTCAAAGTTATTAACAGATATGAATTAATGAATGAACAAATATACAAACGCTCACTTTTATAATATTAGATTCTGATCTTATATTATAAAAGTGAACGTTTGTATTTTATTTATTACTTATTCAATTTAAAAGATGGATTTTGACATCATAGTTCATACATTATATATATGAACATAATATACTAGGTACTTTTTATCTAACTATTTATATGCGTTATAGCTCTATCTATATGTTTAGTTTATAAATCTAAAGCCCACACAGACAAATCTGAATAAAAGTCTGAGTAATACGAATATGCAATTATCTATTTTTTTGCAAAGAAATTGTTTTGTGACGCTGTATTGCTCGGCATTTCTACGCAGCCACCGCGTCAAGTGTATTAGTGACCTGTGGGCTGCTGTTTATGCTATAATTCATCTTTCATAATCATAATTCAACTTTATGGTATCTTTACTGCAACCATGACGACGCATGAGTTTCCCAAACCTAGCCTAAGAAACCCATGGCGGTAGTCTCCAACCCGAGCTCTACTACCGTATAAAGCCATATACATTATTTTTCTAAACGCATTGAAATATACATTTTCTTCAAAACGATCGACGACATTCGTTGACGATCTCCGTAGCCGAGTGGTTCGCACGCCGGTTTTAAAGTGTCTCCATATCTGAGGTCCGGGGTTTAATTCTGGGTCGGGTAAATGTAGAAATAGGACATTTCTATATAGTCTCGGGTCTGGGTATTGTGAATCTGAGCATTCTGAACAATCTTGGAATCTGAACATTCTGAACAATGTATGTGATGTTGTTTAATATTTATTTATTATTCATAATAATGTTGCTCATTGTAAATACCATGATGTAATAGAACACTCACTCGTTCTCTATGAACCGCGCTGTGGTTATAATCTCGTCGGTCATCTGAACATATCTCTCTTTACCGACGTACACCATGGTCGCCCAGCAGGCAGCTATCAAACCTCCCGCCCTACTACCTAAAGCAAATAGTCCATCAATTATATCTTACTAGCTTTCCGCCAGCGGCTTCGCCCGCGTGGTCTTGTATTATACATAAAAACCTTCCTTTTGAATCACCCTATCTATTAAAAAAACCGCATCAAAATACGTTGCGTAGTTTTACAGATTTAAGCATTCATAGGGATATAGGGACAGAGAAAGCGACTTTGTTTTATACTAAGTAGTGATATTATTATTGTGCACTAGATTGGAATCCCTGTAATCTGACGAACATTTTGTACTGTCCAAGAACGATAAACACACACACAAGACAAATAAACACGTGAATCCACCACCGCTATCCTCGTCACATGTAGTCAAGTTCAAACTAAGCAATCGAAAAAGAAATACCCTACTCGTCGAGCACAATAGTGATGGTGCGCACAAGCATCATGCATTAGCGAAGATTGTCAAAAAATATTAGACCATGTCGCATTACAGGGGGTCCGGATTAGACAGGTGGCGTATTACCGGGGGTCCACTGTAATTACCTACAACTTTAAATGTTGTAATACGGTACTCGAGTAGTAAGAAAAAGAGAGAAGATGACGTTACTTTATTTATTAGGGAATGAGCTTTTTACAACTAAATAAAAAAATAGCTACCATATTTAGTTTTTTATTCTACCTTTTTTAATAAGTTCTCGCATATGTTACCTACTTAGTTTAAGATCTGAGCAATATATGTAATGAAGTTATAAATTTTTTTTTTTGAGTATAATTATTTATTTTGTTTGTTGAGTAGCGAGGTGGCGTAGTGGCTAAACGCCGCTAAAGGGCTGAGGATGATAATGATGATGATGATGATGATAGTTATTTATTATTACACATACCATTGACTGTGGGCGAACCGTATACGCCGCCCGGCCACTCCGTGGTGACAGTATACTGGCAGTGACGATACTTTGCATGCCGATATAGTACAACCGAAGTACCCTTCGGAGCGTACCCATACTGAACAAATGCAATTAAAAACTAAGTGAAAAATTCTTAAAACAATATCACTTAATAAACGACATTTAAGTTGTATCAGTATGTAAACATTTAACTAAATAATATTAGAAATTCAAAAGTGTGTGTGTCAAACATTAAGATTGTTAGCACTAGAAAACTTTGCATAAACACTATCAGCTTTCAAAAGTTATGTGGCGAGGTTGAGTGGGGACCCTTAATTTTTGTAGCTGCTTGGTGGCCTTTGTAATTCTTTAGAATTTGATGTCAAGTTCATATAGTGCCTATCATTGCCTAATTATGCTCGTAAATGCTCATATCTCAATAAAAGTAATTTAAATTTTGCATTTATTTTTTTCAAAATATATTAATTTAGCTTTACAGTCTCATAATTTACTTGACAATGTCCTCTATAGCTTATAGTTCTACAACATAAATTGATTAAGTAAAACAAAAATAATGCCACCGAAACACATCGGAATCTAATTTACATTAAAATTATCTAATCACGCCAAAGATAATATATTATTTGAAACTAGGTATACCTTTTGTATTTATTAAATCAAACTAAAAGCAATAACAGTTATAATATTGTTTCAACCTTGTGCGTAGTTTTATTTGTTAGTAGCTCGGTGGCGTAGTGGATAAGCGCCGCGGCCCGCGATCGTTGTTGTTAAGCAACTTTCGCAATGGTCGTTTACGGGATGGGTGACCAAAAATTTTTTTTTATCTCGAGCTACTCCATGCTTCCGAAGGCACGCTAAACCGCTGGTCGCAGTTGCATTGACATCTTCGTTAATACCCCCCAATACGTATTGGGCCAACGTGGAGGCATGCCACATGATCCTTAACTATCCCATAACGAAGGTCTGAGCCCCCGTAATGGGGAAGTAAGATGACTGATGATGATGATTTACCTTGTGGGTATCTGCAGACATGCTTGCCACGCCGGGCAGTCGGAAATCGAATGGAGGCATATGGTGACCCGCATCCGGCATGAATGCGGCCACGAAGCCACCCAAGCACGCGTCCACGTGCAAAGGCACTTCGTATTCGCAAGCTAGATCAGATAATGCCTGAATGTCGTCCATAGTACCGTATGGGAAGTTAGGAGCCGAACCTACAATCTAGAAAATATAAAACATAGTTGGCTATTTGATACTTGACAGTTACATCAAGAAATTATGAAATATGTTGGAAATGATAAGTAAGTATTTGTAAACAATTTTTTGTATTAAAATAAATCATATGTTTATTTTATTTTTGCAAAATGAACTTGGTATTTATAATCTACAGATTACAAGCATCGAAACGAGTGAGATCACATGACAGAGCATCATATGACGTCACATTTCAATAAGTGAAACTCCAACGCCCATTAGCCCATTTCACGTAACAAAAGCAGTAACGATATCGCAACGATTTAGTCGTTGAACCCATTTTCCGTCTACGAATAAAAACGTCTATTAATAAAAACGATTTTAAAGTAGTTCTATCGGAGTGTCGTCGAAGCTTATTCACCTAATCAATCGCGTCAAAACTTGCGAAAAATCGGAGGTTATGAACTATTCTGCTAAATAAATTCTTCGTTTCTTTCAATCAAATGCGGATCGACCAAATGTTAAATTACATCTAGGCACAGTTGAACAAAACTTCATTAATTGATGTTGTTGATATAGCAACACATAGACACAAACAATACGAGCCTTGGTTAAGCTTTTATTCTATTGGATATCTATTTATTTTATTGAATATAAGTCAGTCCCGAAGAAGAAATAAATAAGGATTTCAATTTTATTTCTTTTCCAAATACAAATAAAAATACAAAACAAATGAGCGAGCAGAACTAATTCGTGAGAGTAATTCACTATTTATGTCTTTATGAATGTAGAGTAACACGATGGCAGAGTTGTTAGCATGTTTAGTCTGTGTTAAGGTAGTTAAGAAACTTGCAAAAAAAATATTATCTTGAGCCGTTTCGTGCTTTCGAAGGCATGATTTTTGAAGTGAAACATCAAACATGACTGGATTTAAACAAAAAACATGAAAATTTGCAGTTGTAAAATTTATCATAATTAGACCGCATTATTGAGATATTGGAAAAAATATGTATAAAGATACGCCTGTTCTCTTCATAAAATATATTAATATTTCAATTTGTCACAATGGAACCGGCATTTTAGGGCTTAGTTTATTTATTCAAACTTAAAAAAAGTACACCTAAGTTTTCACAAAAATTCAAAAATTGTTTTACTTTAACTAAAACTTCATTTAGGAACTTTACTTTTTGGTGTTAGTCTATACGAATACGTAAAATTTTCTATTTATTGATTCATATTTTTTATATTAGTTAATGTTCTTTAATAAAATTTAATTATCATGTAACAAATCTCTCAATTTACTGTAAAAAATATGTTCAAACAGCACGATGGCGTACAAATTAAGTTCACTTACAACTGTATTTGTTTTAGATTGATAAGTCATTGAGTTATGATCCTATCCAATTAAATTTCTATTGTAAAGCATCTGAGCATCACCTAAAAACTGATTTCAATAGGACTTCGAACAACGGTTTATAAGTTCCGCGTTATTTGAATTATTCATAGTTACGTGAATTGGGCTACAGTAATTATGTTTAATAAAATGTGACATCACGGTTCCAAATGTCACGTGATAGATCGATTTTGTGAGCAAATTAAAAAAAAAATTAAATGTGTTTACTTTATTTAATCACACTTTGGAGAAAAATAACCTGATAGTGATTTAATATGACCATATGATTTTTTTTAATACTTTTCCTAAATTACTCAAGTAGCCAATTGGTAATAAAAAACAAGAATTTTTTATTGAAGTTGGGCCAATAACATTATTATTTAAAAAAACACATAGAAAATAGGTCCAGTCCAATTCACTCATGGTCTGTTTTATCTTCTATGACAATATTTTAACTAAATCAATATGATATGATAATTACTTAATATGTGAGTGATTTATCTATAAATAAAGTTAACTCTTACCAAACAAGTTCGGCTACTAATGGCTCTCCTAACAGCATCGACGTCGACACACATCGTATCAGGATCTACAGGTACAGTCTTCACTGACAAACCAAGATATTGAGCAGCTTTATCAAACGCAGAGTGAACAGTTGACGGAACGACTATCTGGGGATTGCTTATACCCTTGTCGTAAGCAAAGTCTCGGAAAGCTTTGCAAGCCATCAGTATGGATTCTGTACCACCTGTTGTCACCTGAAAAAATATCTTGCTCTTTTAGTTGAAGATTCTATATACACACTACACTACACTGTGATCAAAGAATAATTCTTTCTTTCTTCGTGTGTTTGTTTGTAGTGGGTAGGTCATCATCAGCTCTTTTACGTCCCCACTGCAGGGGCTCAGGCCTTCCTTATGTATGGTTAAGGAGGATGGGCCGTGACCCTCCACGCTGGCTCAATGCGGATTGAAGGAAAGTGGGTAGGTAATCCTCTGAAATTCTGATACGATAATGAAAATTCTTTCACCTACGGGAAGCTACATCATATGCGGGTGATATATGCTATATATCATCCGCTAGAAGAAGGCTAGAATAATACAGCTAGTTTACAATAGAATCATGATTGTGTGTTTATATACTATTCATATTTTTTAAAGAAATACATAACAAGCATCTCAATAGAATCTACGAGTATTTGCATTTTGCCATCGTACTATTTACTTGAAGTTTAAGATTATACCAATTAAACTACATAATACGGGTGTAAACAGTAAACGAAAATAAATACACATTATTTTCTTGTCTGGTAGTTTAATATACTATTACCGATAATCACACTTTTATGCTTATTATTTTTAGGTATAATATTGCTTAAACTAATTATTAAAAAACAAATATTTTACGCTCGTTGTCACGTGACCGCAAACTGCGCGTGACGTCACACCCTTCTACTCATAATCAGACCTTAGAGAATTCAACCTCATTCATACATAGAATAATATTCGTTTCAGAGTGACGTCATAACGACGCCATGGCAAAAGTGGCGTTTTCTCGATAAATTTTGAAAACTACATTTATTTTAAGTTTTTAATTTATTATATGAATGATATTTTTTTAGATATATTTCATGTATATCTACAAAACAAAAACAAAAAAGATGTCTACACCCCTATTGGGGTTGTGTTATCATACATGCGAACAATGGTTATTGAGTGCATATAAATTAAATCGCTAATTAATAATTTATAGGTTAATAATGTATAGAATCAAATTTCAAAGTACAATTTAATAACAACAATCTAATCTCAGAGATACGTACACGTGATTTTAGAGACTAATTACCGTTACGTATGCCAATGCTTCACAATAGTTAGCAAATACGATAATTGCTGCATCACAGTGTAACATAAACAATTTGCTGAATAGTTATTGTGGAAAAATTGTGTACAAGCAATATGAAACCTTAAATGCAATAGTTATAGTTCAAAACATAAATTGTTACATACATTTTAAAAGTAGCAATCGTATGTTAATGTCTTCATCTATGTTAATACCTTTCAAATTTATGCAATTGTTAAATATTTTGAAGATAACAGTGCTTTAAAATAAAATTAACAAATTCGGTAAATTATTAACTTTAGATGAAAAACACTGAAATGGAAGATCAAAACTAGTGTTTCAAATGTAAAATACTAGCTGTTTTCCCGCGACGTCGCACGCATAAATTATAGCGCACTAGCTGACCCGGCGAACTTCGTACCGTCTTATATCCGTTATATTATACATTCGTCCTCGTGGTCAAACCTGCCATTTGAATCACGCTTTCTATTAAAAAAATATTCAAGCATACATAGGGCCAGAGAAAACGACTTAGTTTTATGCAATGTAGTCATGTCAATCACATATGATGTAGATTCATGTGTCTGAAAGAATTTTTAAAATCAGCTCAGTAGTTTTCAAGCCTATTCTTGGACAAATTAACAATCAAATCTTTTCCCTTTATAATTTTTGTATACTGCAGTGACGACGTCGGTTTCTAAAATAAATATCTACATCAACTCACCGTTCCACAACATTCATCGTCACCGTGAAAGAGGTTGATCGCCATGCGCACGATTTCAGACTCCATCTTGTTAATTCCGGGAAATACATCCGAATGGAGTGGATTAGTGTATGCCGTAAGAGCGTATGCATCGCACGCCACTCGCGATATTTCCTCATTCAAGTGGTATACAGCACCCGACACGCTCCCATTTTTCCAGTCGTATGCACCTGATTATAGATAAATAAAAAAAAATATGTAGCTACATTTCATTTTAATAATTTAATAGAAGCTATTATAATCAGAGCCGGCCCGTCGATATAAGTAAATAGGCAACTACCTAGGCACTCGTATTACGGAGCCGTGGCATGGCAAACACATGTTTACTCTAATTTCGGTAAAAGTTACACTCTTTAATAGATGTAATGTATTTTCTTGCTGTGATTTTAAATAATGGCAACATGTCAGCTTGGGGCCCATAGTTCCAGTATTTTGAACCGGCGCTGATTATAATTTATGATATCTTGAGCTTCTACAACAGTGTTACATAACAATAATCTTATCTTATTATACATTACGATATATCAACGTGTGTTTTAGTGGATCTTAGCAAACTCGTTTATTTCCATGGCCAGATAATAAACCTCAAACATATAAACCAAATAATATTCTCAAACATTTTTATGAAAAAAAATCGTCCCAGTATAAACATGTACAATCCAAAGTTGATGTAGTATACAAATTGAACTGAATACAAGAAGAGTATATAGAAGTATGTGCAATAATCCAATAAAAAATTATTTAAGCAAATCAATGTAAATATATTCTCATTACCTACTATGTGACCATCTACAATCGGTGACAATATTACACGAATATTATTGTGGAACAAAGATTTAATGACGTCGTTAAACAGATAAGAAATCGGTATTACAGTACTGTCTGTTATTCAATCCTGTTGGCATAAACTAAACAAAATTTACGTTGCGTTTTACACTAAATTAAAGATATTATAATTTTAAGCTTTCTAGGGACTTAGTACAAAACTTGACAAACATGTAAACCGGATGTAACTACTAGAGTACCCTCAGGTAATAAACCTGAGTGTCCCTGATTACGCTAAAAGCGTCCAGCCCGCATTAATTAGGTATAAAGGATTGTAACGGTGCGTCGCTCTACCACCATTTATTTCGTCCTAGGTTGCCCATGCAAACTTTTTGTCTTTGATCTTCAAAATCATTTATTATTATTATTCACTTTTCGTAATTTCAAATTTTGAGTAATCCAATATGCTCTTTATGAATGTCAGTATCGTGAAAATTCATCGAGCTAGAAACATTATACATACTTAATTTTATTCAATAAAAATTTATTGTAAAAATTGATAAAATTTATTTCATTATGCTCACGAGTTTTATCTCAATAAAAAAGTAATAAAGTTAATTTACTCATCAAACCCGGACAAAAGGGTTTTTTGTTACCATTAATTAAATAAAGTTCTCAAGCTTAATCAGCTTTTTATTCATTTGTCTAAGCATCAAGCCCATCACAGGACTACTAATATAAAAGAGATCAAAATGGCTGTTTACCTTCCAGCGATTGGATGTTCCAGCAAAAATTAAGCAAACCAATAAGAATATACTATATTATATCTATTTTAATTAAGATAAAAACATTTAGTTAGTCATTTAGTTTAGATACAAAGAAAAATGTAAGTCATTAAACAAATATGATCACTTGATCACATCATGAGTACATGACTACCTAACAGCTCTGATTACCTCATTACATATGTAACGTGAATGTGAAGTGCATATTATAAAATGCAATGCCACCCGGAAACTTTAAGAATGTGGACACAAAGACTTTATCAGAAAACATAAGAATGAATCTTAACTATGGCACACTACAAACATTATACACTTTTATTTCCAGAACGAAGGCAATGTACTCATTTAGACTGCTTGGTTGACTAAATTCGTTCACAAAGAACAACGTACACATTCTTATAAAATAAATGAATAATTTTTGTGATCATTGTCTACTTAATATGTGTATTTTATTATTAAATATCACTGTAGACTTTGGACTTTTATATTAACACAGTCCTTTTTCCTCTCTTAAATGAGAATGAAAATAATGTTACCATTATCTACATAAAAAAAGCAATTACGTCACTGTTTTATGCACTAAGAAGCATCTCTGACTTTCGACATATGCCCGACGACAACCTGATAGACGAGTGATTCCCATGCCGGTTTTAAAATGTCGCCATCTCTGAGGTCCTGGATTCGATTCCCGCTCGGGTTAATGTAGAAAACTGATCTTTTCTATATTGTCTCTATCTGAGTAATGTATGTGATATTGTCTAATATTTATATTTAAGAGGAACCGTGGTCTCTGATAAGAGCATGTTTACAATAATATGTCCATGATATGACTTACCCAAATTAACAAGATTTCTGACTTCCTCAGCAACCTGTTCAGCTGTGAGACCTTTCTCAGGCAACTCGCGTCGAATCGTTGTGCCTGCTAATCTCTTTGCCACATCCTTCCGGAAATCTCTTTGAATCTCTGACATTTTCTCTTCAATCTTTCGCTTCACTATCGGAACTTGACGCAGCCATCGGAAGAACTGCTTACGAAGTCTTGCAGTTGGAGCTAAATGTATTTTTATTAGGTTATTTAGCTGTATGACATGCTAGCACAAAATTGAAAAAAAGAACTATATTTTAATTGCCAATAATTTAAGGTCTAAAATCGATTGAAGAAAGGACATAGCTCAGCAGCCATATTGACCATCAATGACATGATATTTCAGTTTATGTTTTTAAATAGAGATAGAGTTCTTTTAAACATCATAAATTACAGTTGGTTGATAAGAAGTTGATTGACATAATAAGAAATAATTTAATGTGTTGATTTGTTTCAATACAATGAAAATATTATTTCATAAAAAAATTCTTATTGAAGATTAACAACTAAGAGTCAAGACTTGAGTCCTCAAGACACTAGTAGTTGAACAAAGACCTGATACATAACATCCACATTACACTAACTGCTGCCTATTTTATAAATAAGCGCTAAACATCTGATACAGCTCTGGGAAGAAACTTAAAAACAAAGCTTCTGTAGAAGTATGTTGCAATGCAATCCACTCTCAAATCAAACCCTGTATACTGGGGACACCATATTATTGATACGATTGAAATGATGGTTGCTATGCCCGGCAATCTATGCTCAAAGTCAAATAAAATTATTAAAAGCACTCTTGAATAGTCCCATTTTTGACCTACCAATTCAGGACATCTTTTATCTGATAAGAAGAATGAAGGAAAGAATTTCACTAGATATAACAAAAATATTAAAATTTTCTAAAATTATGCCATTTCTAAATCAATATTTAACCCGTCACGCGATTAAGTCACAAAACGCACTTGAAGCGTTTGCACACCTGTGTGTTCAAAAAATCGCGAGACGGGTTAATCATATGTAACAAAATGAGTTTATTAGACTATGAGGTCAATTTCTATTACAATATTAAAAAGAATGAAATAATGTTATTTCTTTATTAAACTTTACTGAACAACAGAAACATTCTGCCACATGTCTGATTCTGTCTCAAGAAATTTAGTGTAGAAATTCTATTGGTTCCATTTTTGTTATAGCTTACAAATCAAGATTGATTGATTTGTGTTTAGGTGGATGCTGTTTTTGAAGTGAGTTTGAATTCAGGTTTGGATTACGGAATCTCAGGGCTGTAAAAATATACTGAAGAGGTAGAAATATAATACTAAGATAAGAAGGTTCAATATTGATATTAATGGTATCCTAGTGGATTCTATAGTATTGAAAGCCCTAGCTAGTAAGGGTATCAATTTCTTAGCATACCAATAATGATAATACATAAATCAAACACTGTCCATTATTAGCATAAATTTGATTGAAAAAAAAAACATATGATACTTTATAAACACATAAAAAAATATATTAATCTATATGCATTATAACATATATGACTATTTACTTACTTTCTCTTGCATTGTAAAGACTAGAAGCCCAAAGAACAGCCAGTATGGATGAAGCAGTCATGGTGACAATCTGCCATGGTTCTTTACCCTCAAATAATCTATTCACTGCTTTCAGTGGTTGTGGACGTTCACTCATGGCTTAAAATGAGAAACTTAAATAATGTTCATTTATAATAATGTACATGGTATAAAAAATAATTAAATTATAGAAAATTATCCATTTCAAATGAATATGGGTTCTGTAAGATTTGATGAAATCTTGTAATAAAAAACACTTTACATCTTTTGTTTAGGTGCATTTATGATTATCAAAGAGTATAATTATCACAAAACAAACATAAATTATCATGAAATACGTCAACTAGAAAGTATACAACAATATGTTGAATCACAATGCTGTTACTTACTTTGAAGTATGTTATTATTATCCTATTAAAATATCCTAAAGTATCACTATTTCAAAATCTTAACACTATCAAAGTTGGCTCAAAAACAATCACAATCACTCTAATTAGTACAATAACAAAAACTGAGATTTTATTGTTATATAGAAACAAAATGATTCTTGCATTAAACCGACTAAGATAGCTCTTTAGGATTCTAGTGTTACGAAAAACAAAAGAGAACTTTAGTAACGAAACAATCTAACACTCGTTCCAAGAGCTTAGCAGTTTATCATGTTTATCAGCCCTCACCACAAACTACATATCACTCTGATTTGACATATGTCATTGGACTAGGGATGCAACGATATATCGGAAAGATATATATATTATCTTTGCATCTGCTGCGTTGAAAGGAAATGTTTGAAAAACTTGCTTTCATTAATAATTTTGTGCCCCAACAGGATCAGTGGAGTAACGTGGGTGTCTGCCGCCCGGGCGGAAGACAATTTTGCTGCCCCTCTTAATTAGGTATTTTATATAATTATACTATACAATAATTTAAAGAATTTTACGGCAACAATTATCGTCATTATTTTGAATTATACAGGTTAGATTTAGACTGCACAGTTGGTCGACTGGTTTAATTGTAGCCATGCAACTGCTCACGGATCGAGCGTTTGTTAACATCTTGAGATTAAAATTCGTTTAATCATAAATATGGTGGTGGCTGCGCCGCATAGCACGACGAAACTTGAGAGCTCTCTTTTTAGAACCGGGGTAGAAACATAATAATGTGTTTACAGCCTGCCCTCTCCAATCAACTAGACATTAGAATGATAAGGCAGTAAAAGTAATTTTGTAAAGTCAGGATGTTCTTATTTGTCTGCGGAGCGTCCAATCCCAATTTACAATTTGATCAAGGGCCCTTCAGTGGCCCCCCAGGACCAGAGGCCCGGGGCATACCGTTAAATATCCATCGATATTAGCTTTTGAAATGTTGATATTTTTTTATATCAGTTTCAATGATTATTTGATACCAACAGAAACATGTATATATTTAGCGTCGATATATCGATACGAATCGATTATCCAATAATCGTGCATCCTTAAGCAGGAAGGAAAACAGCTGGGTGGGGTGCTTGTGGGTGGTGTCAAGTCTGTGGTGGTGTCTATTAGGTAGGGTGTGATTGGTTTTTGGATATTTATGAGTCATCAACCTCCAGTATTTTGTATTCCAAACAACAAAAATGTCGAAAGCCAAAAAAGTAATAGAAGAAGCTAAGGAAATCAATAACCCAGAGATTGATTTGGTTGACAAAGGTATAACTAACCTCGAGGAGGTCCCAGGATTGTGTAAGTTCTTTTTTTACTATTTTGTCGAAAAAGTTTCCCAATGTGTCATCTTTATTTCCCTATATTAGATTTTATCAATTTATTTCTTGAGTAAACAACAATCAATGTATGATGAAATGTAAAAACAGTAGTTCCAAGTTAAAATCAACTCTTATCCATCTTCTTTTCTTGTTGTTTATTTCTCAAACTTCTAAAATTATTTACTAAAAAAAAATATTTTAAAAATTATAACTTTATTTTTACTAGATGATTTATATCGGTTTTGTAGTGTTGCTATACCTTTTTATTTCAGTTAATTTGGCCAACATAACCCGTTTATCATTAAGTCATAACAAGATACATACAGTTCCAGCTGCTCTAGCCAATTTGATGAATTTGGAGATTTTGAACCTTGCCAATAATCATATAGAAGAATTACCTCTAAGCTTATCATCCCTGCCAAAGCTCCGTATCTTGAATGTGTCTCTCAACAGATTGTATAGTCTGCCTAGAGGATTCGGAGCCTTTCCAGTTTTGGAGATACTTGACTTGACTTATAATAATCTCAATGAGAGAACGCTCCCAGGCAATTTTTTCATGATGGGTATGTACATTTTTTTCCACTAAAATAAGCCAAGCTAGTTTCACATATTCTAGTACATAAAAGTTTCTCAGTTACAAGCATTTTGATGCAATGAAGCAAGACTGCCAAAACTTGGTTATACAAAGGTTTTTAAATAGAGGCCAGAATTTAATGTGGAAAATTTATATTTTGTGGTAGCCAGATCCCATATTCTTATAAATTTATTGAATATTTTGCTCTTACTTATATATTTTTAATTTCAAAAATAAAAAGCTTGTAAGTTGGTATATCAAAAAAAATTTAGTGCTCATGATGTAACACTGTGTGTACAATATCCATGCTGGCAATATGGTTATTTCTTTGTCTTAATTATAATAATGTTATTTACAGAAAGCCTACGAGCATTGTATTTGGGTGACAATGATTTTGAATATTTACCACCAGAAATTGGTAACTTGAAGAACCTACAAATTGTAAGTGTATGTCAATTGTAGGTCTGTTGCACAAACAACCATTAAGGTTTAATGACAACTTTAAGCTCTAATGAATGTCCTTAATTCAAAAATATGTATCGGTAATGTCACTTTAAACTAATGACAATAATAATGGATGTTTGTGTAACTGGGTCTATATCTACTGTTGTATAACTAATTGTGTAAAACAGCATACATTCTAATATCATCATTTTAATAACTTTATAGACATTGAAATTATATGAGCATGAAATGTCAATTTTATTTAACTGCATAATTAAGTGGCCCACTGATAAACCTGCATAGATCAGATCATAATCAGAATAATATAAGTATCATGTCATCTGCCACAGAGATTGAGTAAGACTTACACCTAGTGAATTGTATTTTACACATTATGGTCATTGTAACAAGAAGACTCTTTATAAATTTTAATCATATATTCAGTCTATGTATTATTGGTCTGCTCTGCTCTGCTCAAAAGCTTTATTTGGAACTTAATTGCTCACTGATCTGACTATTTTCGGACTCTACATATATTATATATATAAGGACGGAAGGCCCTATTAATGTAAATATATGTTGTATGCAGTTGTCTTTACGTGAGAACGACCTAATAGAGTTGCCGCGGGAGGTGGGTCAACTCACACGCCTACGCGAGCTACATCTGCAAGCCAACCGTCTAGTAGTGCTGCCACCGGAGATAGGTTAGAACTATTCATTATTAATTAATGCTAATATTAACACTATAGCATTGAATGACTCCACTTTGCCCCACCAAGCTGTCCTAACTAGTTGGGCAAAGTAGAGTCTTAAAAATTGCAATAGAATCTGCCCCACTAAATTGATTCTGCTCTTCTAGGTCTAGTTGATACTTTATTGCATAGGTAGTTTTGTGTGAAATTACAATGACAGTTTTTAATACATACTAGTTTTTTAGAGATGTGGCTTTAAATATTACTTTTTGTAATTTGCTTAAAAAATTTTAACATAAAATTTATCTTCAAATATAGCATTTAATATTCATATTCGTATTTATCGAATTCTTTTTTCCAAATTTAATGATTGTTCGATATATATTATACACTTAATTAATGAAATGAGTCTATACAGCAAGGAAATGAATATGATGATTCTGTCGTGTAGGTAGTTTAGACTTGGCGAGCAACAAGGCAGTGTTACGGCTGGAGGCGAATTTTTGGGTGCCGCCCATCGAAGATCAACTGAAGCTCGGCCCCTCACATGTACTTGACTACCTCCGCTCGGAGACATATCGCGTGTAAGTAAAAAAATAAAAAAGAAACTATCATGTTAAGCAAACTATAGTATTTTTACTTATTATTTTTAAAAGCTGACAAGAAACTATCATGTTAAGCAAACTATAGTATTTTTACTTATTATTTTTAAAAGCTGACAAGTTACTTACAAATTATAAGTTACATACTGTCAGTGTGATAGGTAAAAAGGGTTGGATAATTTGAAGTGCTTTCCATATAAAGCTACTTAAATATATAATGTTTTGATTTATATGTCGCAACTTATTAAAATAGCTGTTTAATGAGGGAGTATTTTTTTAAGCACTAAAAAGTACCTCACTGGATGGCGACTCTAAAAGTTGATTTTTGCAGGAAACTAATGGACCAAAGATAGTCATTTCTGTTCCTTTGAACTAACATATTAAAAAACTGAAATTTGAAAAGTTTGAATCTTAGATATCAATAAAAATACGAAAAAGAACACATAGAATATGAGTTGTAATTTACTTTTATACATGAAAGACAACTAGAAGGGTTGTCTTGATTTCTCCAAGAAGTGCCGTAGCGACATCTAGTTTGATTATGGGAACTATTTTTTTTTAAATACTTTGTTGCATGGCAAATGTTCGTCATTTACTTTATTGAAATTAACGAAGGGTTCAGTAATTTGAGTAATCTACGTTTATTCACTTTTAAACTTTCACGCTGCATTATCATTATTAAATCTACATTTACATAGATATCTCTATGTAAATGTAGATTTAATAACCCACAATTGCAATTTTTTGTCATTTACTTTTACGAAAAATAATGTCAAATTATCGAAGCGATTTTAAGAAATACAGCATTAATCCTAATCCAATTAAGTACCTGAAATACATTGTTGATTTAATACAGATCAATATAGCCCTTTACAGCGTTTTATTTAAATGAATATTTTCGAAATATTAGATTTAAAATACAGTGCACTTTGAATTTAGCACCTTACGGACGCGTTCATCGGAACTCTAACAAAGAAAATAACAATCAATGCATACCTAATATAAAATAAAGTCGCTTTTCTCTGTCTGTTCCTATATATATCCTTAGATCTTGAAAACTACGCAACGGATTTTGATGTGGTTTCTTTTAATAGATATGATGATTCAAAATTAATCTTTTTATGTATAATATATAAACATGCGGGCGAAGACGCTGGCGGAAAACTAGGGCCCAATAGCTATTCTTCTACCCGCTTAATTTTGCACCTCCTTTTCGTCGTTCCGGTTTTTAAAGCACTGACATCAATTGATCTGTAATTCATAATTGCTTTAATGAAACTAGGATATCCCAAAATTTGCACAAAATTAGTTTATTTGAAAAAGAACAACTCGCTGACAACAATATGATATTTGTCATTTTGAAGACTTCTCTTCACACCAGAGCCTCTATAAATTTCCAATGCTTCATCCCTCGTTAAACGATTGTTTAAGTACTTATAACCTATGCAGTACAATGTTGTTCCAGGTTGTATAGCCGTCATATGTCTGCGAAGCCGCCTACGCCTGGAGAAGTGCGAGATAAGAGCAAGAAAGCAAGCCGAGCAAAGTCTTAACAAACATTTACACAGACTTGAAATGTGCCATAACATACTAACAAAAGTGTATCTTGGATAATTCTTAACTTATGTTTGACAATCGACACGTAGCTGTTTAAACACTGCCATATAACGAGACAAGTCTATTTTGGGTTACCAGATTTTTATATGTGAATCTCCGGTAAGATCTTTTTCATGGCATTCTTGGTATTTATCCGTCAAAAGGAAACGCAAATAATATATTTTTTTTTAATATGACGGTTAATATATTTAATGTTATCTGTAAATTATATTTCCTTTTCTGATAACCTTACCAAATTGGACCATTGATTAGACCGTTTACTTCAATAAAGTTTCAACTTCTGTATGAATGTAATAGGACGTAAATGAAAATTCCATTATGAAACAAACAAATCTTGTATTAAATAAAAAATGACTTGAGTTATCCGACCGCCGACAATAAGTGAAATCAAAACAACGCCTATAAAAAATCACAGCAAAATAAAAGACTAATGTAAGTAGGTAATAAGGATTTTAATTTTGCTAATGACAAAAGAAACTCCTTAGGTACTACTGGTCTTTTTTTTAATATCACAGACATGTTCTCGTTTACAAAGAACTACAGTATTTTTTTATACTGTACTGTATTTTTAATTTTCAAATAATTAGAACATACGTAATGGCTGCCCTAGACAGTTGCCTATATAATTACTGTGTGAGCGATGATTGAAAATCTCACAGCTTATTTCACTATGCAAGTCTGATTTTTAGCATTTCAAAAGAATAGTAACTGCATCAAAGGCGGTCAGACAACTAATTAAGGAACTTAATAATATTAACATGTCACTAAAACTAGTAAGTGCACTTATTTACAAATGTAAGGAGATAGTTTTTTATAAAATTACTAAATGGTGCTTATTTATAATGATTAAATGAATGTATTAATGATGCGAACAGTATAAAAATGTTATTTACATGTGAAAAAATATTAAATTATTACTAACAAGTAATGTTTTCTTTCCATACCTATTCAGTCTGTATTTTGTATTACATTTACCCATATCTTAGCTAGGTAAAGTTAAATGAGTAGTACTGAAAGAGTACAGCTAATAAAAAATTGAAATTTAGAGATACCAATATCACAAATCATATCATTAACTTTGTTCAAAATGTTTTACAATGATTAAGAAGTCTTGCTTTTAAAATACACACGGCCGCACGTCACGCTACACCACTAGCGTAAACAGAGCTTTGTTGGTAGGGAAATTCTATACGAAGCGCGGTTGATACAAAGTCAATATATATATTATTTTGAACTCTACCCTCAATGTATTAAGGTTTAAAATGGAACTGTTTTATTTTTATTTTTGTATAACCTGACGTGCTGTGTACTATATCACAAATAATCACAACTATCTGCAAACATAGCATTTTCTCGTTTCTATATACGAATTCAAAATCTTTAAAAAATACCATCCATAAAGACAAATTCCTCAGACGACAATGAAATCAGTTATATTTCATCATCGTCTGAGGAATCATCATCCGATATCTCCATGTTATTGTTCCTGGTCGAATTGGCGGCCGGTTTCCTCGCCGACTCCAACGAGAAAGCGTAGGATTCGTAATCAAGTATCTCATCGTCGCTGAGATGCGAGTTGCCTTCAACAAAACTCGCGAATCTGTGTAAAAAAGGATAACAAATTAAAATGGAGTAAATTGTGAATTTTAGGGCTCACTTTGTTTTTTGGTTCAATAGAATGGAAATTTAATAAATTCACGTTTTGGATGTGATAGATTCCTTACAAATATGATTTTATTTTATAATTTTTAAGTTATTGACCTATGGGCGTAAATTTAGATGGCGTAAATGGTTAGAAATCCAATCCCTGTTGGATTTCTTTATTTGTCATTATTTTCTTATAAAGTTTTGCACGACGCTGGAAAGCAAACACGTAGTAACCCGCAAAACCAAAATTTTTTGATAAATAGTTCTTATAAACATCCATGGTAATAAATAAGGTATTTCTTAGTCAATTTATACGGAATTTTTATTTTTTTTAATTAACAGATTTTCCACTTTAAGTATCCATTTTGATTCTGCAGGTTACTACGTGTTTGCTTTCCAGCATCGAAATATAGTGATATATTCTATGAGTTCAAAACAATTTGTAGAATGAAATTGTTTATAATTTAAAAATTACCTATTTTAACAATATTTTAGTGATTCTTCTTCTTTTTAATTAATGGCGAGAATCCCAAAGTGGTTATTTGTTCAGGTTTTCATAAATAATTATCAAATCAACTTCCGAGTAGACCAAATTATTAATCTTTTCGATTTTTTGGAAACATCCCTACTGTGTAAAAAGGCAAAAGGTCCAGACAAACCATTGAAGTGGCGTATAGTTTGTTTAGAATAAAAAAGGTTTGTTACATGTAGGTCAAAGTTAAACGTTAAATTGCTTTAGTTTATATTATGACAGTAAATATATTATAATAACAAAGAAATCTGCAATTGTACCGTTGACGTAACTTTGAAAAATATATATAATAATATGTTTACTATATTACAAGGTTACTTTGAAGTTGAGACTGAGAGATGTCATATGTTGCCTATTATAATAACCCAACTGTAGTCATTATTTTATTGACCAATGAGAGAAGCTGACTTACAATTCACGGTAAATATATCACAGTGTAATTAGACTTTGTTTGTAAAATTAACACGTGGTTTTAATGAATTATGTATTTATACAATTTTTTCCAAATAATCAGACTACGAACAAAATAAGATAATACCGATCTTTTATTTTAATAATCATGTGCTTTGTACAAACAGTTTCTATCAATGGCCCATATTTTTTTATATTACATACGAAAATATACAATTCAATATCAATTTCAATTTGACGGTATTCGGGCATAGAGATTTAATAAATTAAACTAAAAATTTATATCTGATAAACGAAATCTTGAGCAGAAATAATTCATAAACACTTTCGATGGGTAAATAACTACACCAAATTATAATTACTTATGATATTATAATAAATTACCCGAATACCGATATAAAAATGTAAAATGCCATTTACTCGATTTATAAATGCATATTCGATATTTTGGTTTAGTTTTCAAAGCCATTTACGTAAGTGACGTCAGTCATCGCCGCTGGTCCAAGGTGCATAAGCGGAGCGTTTTTCAGTGAAATTGTAGGGCGGTTGCCCAAGTATAAAATTGGAGCGGGTAGCTCGCCACAATACCAAACCACAATATCTATGTTATTGCAATGGAAATTAATTTTTGGGGGTAATATCATACTTTCACTGCTGAAACTACACTGTTTTAGGCTTACCTTTTTGAGTCGTTGAGTTTGAGCATGATTCGCCACTGCGCACAGTCAGGGCTGGCGCAGTGTTTGCGCAGATCTTCTAAAGCACGCTTTGTCTCTCTCGCACCCTGCTCGTAGTATTCTTCACTCGACAACAGGCGAGGTTTCGGTGGAAACCGTCGATGCCTAAGGGACCACGGACTTTACGACAGGATACTTGATTAAAAATCAGTAAAGTCGTCATATACATAAGACAGAGCCATGCCCTAATAATGAGACATAATCTGAAGTGTTCATATATATGTGAAATATAGAACGCTGTCATCATTTGCAACCATCAGCTGTCTGTTTTAAGTTATTTTGATTTTAAATGTCTAATTATACTCAAATATACAAGGAAATATTACAATATATAAAGCTATACTAAATACATATTTCAGTCACATTATTAAGCAATAAGGTGTAAATTTAGCATAATTATTCAATGAATAGAATAACGACACCCTTATTTTAAACTTTAAACAGCCAGTTGCACTATTAAATGAAATGAATGAATGAAAATATCTTTATTCAAGTAGGCTATTACAAGCACTTTTGAATCGTCCAAAAAAATGTTTTTTCCCCTACCACTTGTTCAGGACGTCTTTTAGCTGACAAGAAGAAAGAAACTTAACAGCTTTTTATCATAAGTAATGACATTTACATAAATCATGTCAATACCAAAATAATATGTATTATCTCAATAATATATACAACTTTCAAAGTCTGTAGGACATATGTAATTAAAATGTTTATTAGTTTACCCATACAAATTTGACATTCATTAGAGCTTAAAGGCGTTATTAAACCTTAATGGACGTTTGTGCAACTGACCGAAAGTCTATCAAATTGCCATAACATACCAAAAGCCTTGTATCTTGTGTAGTAACCAGTCGGGAAAGTATTTGACGCTCAGGGACATAACTATAACAGTGGCCGACGCTTCTTGATAATGGCTGCTGAAGAATATCATCAAAACACCAACAGCCTATAGACAGATAATAGGAAGGTGTTATTAACTGATGATAAATAGAAAATGTTGATGCAAACATATTTTTAAAATTTGTAGTGTCTATTAGTCAGAATCGCCACTCTCTTTATTAGTCAATTCAATTTCTTTGTTATTGGCTCTTCTATGATTTAGCCAACATCAGGTATCAATTAGCAATGGTGTTCCTAATTTATCAATAGCTGATGAATTGCCAAGTTACTTTGCTTTGGAATTAAATGAGTCTGTAGTATAAATTGGCTGACATCACGCCTATATTGCTCTAGGCCAACTAATGGGATCTTAGTAATAACTTTTAGACAATATCCCAAATAAAATTTATACATTTTAGCATTTGTTTTACAATAATTTGAAACAACGAAGGTGTCACATCACCTAGATCCAAAACATATAGAGAAGTCCATTTTCTATATTGTCTGACTTATTTCCTGTTGACGCTACAATCTCCTAAATTATTAGAACAATAGGCTAATGGGATCCTTTTTTTTTATTTTTTTTATTTTAAATAATATAGAAGTAACAACATGTCTGCGATTAATAGTTTCGGAGATATGATGCCATGTTAGTGGAACTGCTGCTAATCGGACGGAAACGCTCCCTACAAATTACAAGCCACGAGGTGACTTCAACCTAGCTACAGTAGCGGTAATCGTATGGGCGTCTGGGTAATCTTTGTAATATCTTCATTATTTATGCGTTTATTATAATAAAGTACATAATTAGAAAACTCCATAAAAACTTTCATCCAGATGGGTAAATTAGGGGATGAAAGAGGACGAATTTCGTAAAATCCCGTCTTAGTGAGCACCTATGTCCTAAAAACCCGCATACAAAGTTTGAAACTCCTAGCATTTGTAGTAACAATATTTCATCCCCTAATTTACCCCCTAAGAAGTTGAATTTCATAAAATCCGGTCTTAGTGAGCACCTACGTTCTAAAAAAGTTCAAACTTGTGGTTTCTGAGATTTTGGTGATGAGTGAGTGAGTGACCTATCGCTTATATATAGATTTTCCCTAATTTTTTTAAGTCTTTAAAGTATAAATTTTCCAAATTAGTGTAATAAAATTTATTTTATTTAATATTTATAACTTAAATGGTTCAAATTTTCGGAACATATAACAGAAACCTGTATTTTCAATTATAGGACACAACCTTATTTTCTAATATTTTATAAGTTCACCTGCAAAGTCCACATGACCAAATTCTTGCTACGCTCGTTTCGTGGTGGACCAATCCGGTAGCACACCAGAAAGCTGATGAAGCTCGCTACCAGAGTATACCAAAACACATACGTCTGGTATGAAGAGATTATCACTCGAACATTATCCCAAATCTGTTGAAACACGTAGACGCCTACTGTCCATCCGCCGATTAGAATACCATATGTCAGTGTTTTCTAAAACAAATGATTTTGTTATTGTCTTTTTACATATGTATAAAGGCGTATGTGACATTGGCAGAATTGTGTAACACAAATAGGCAATGAATTAAAGATTTTGTCAAAAGAATCTTCAAAAATCACAGTCAATTGGTTGAATACTGTATGGCTAGCACTTTTAATATTATCGTCAATAAATATATGTCTGTTGTTTAATACTAATACTCACTTCAGTTTTGTATGTGTGTTTCTCATACAATAAAATCACAAAGTTATTGTGGGTATTGAATTACAGATGATCATACATACCTTTGGTAGTAGTTTACTAACATAGTAAACTAAAACCATGAAAGAAGCAAAAACTCCAACTAATATGCCACAAAGATAGAAAAATAGCGGATTCCCACTCAATGTCTTTGCAGAATAAATTAGGGCAATGCCAAGAAACATTAGCATAACCCTCCAGATGTCCACTCCTATAAAAAAATAACACTATATTGTAATCACAATGCTTAATCACTCTCTAGAAAGTTTAAAACAAGAAAATTATTTTATATATATATATATATATATATATATATATATATATATATATATATATATATATATATCATATAACTATATCATCGCTATTATAATATAGCTATGGCTATAAAATAAATTTCTTGTTTTTAACTTAATAGAGTGTGTAGGATTTTAAACTTTAGTTTTTATTTAATTAATTTTCGGGTATAAGCTATATGTAAGAATAAGAGGTGATATGAGGTCATCCTAAAAACTACTAACCTACAAAATAACATGTAACTTAATTACTTACTTATAACTTGTAGTTCAATACTATATCTCTGTTTAGTATTAATGGCCATGCATGTGGGAGTAAATAATTCCAAAGACAGTGATTTCTGTGCTTTCCTCTGGAACGGACTGATGACTGATGACCAACCGTAGCTGTCTTCAGTATAATCTTTGTACACCTCTTCAGGAGTACTAGCCACATATTGACTGAACTCGTTATTCTTGACCTTAACATGGAACTGCAAATGTGAAATTAAATTTCAATTTAAAAAACTTAAACCATTATGTTATTTAAAAATACATAAAATAACAAAACATTCATAATGTAATTTCTAACATATTAATTTTCTTTTATGGAACCAAAACACCGTTGAAAATATTATTGGTTGATAATGGATACTCCAGACATAGAAAAAAAAAAATCTATTATAGCATTAGCTATTAAAATGCTAATTTTGGTTTTCTGAAATGAGAAAATTCTAAACAGATTATTCTCAATAACTTAAGTTTTTTATATTTCACATTGCAAAAAGTCTAAGGTTTATCAAACTGATATCAACTGATCATTATAAAGTTTAAAATGTGAATAAGTGACATTTAAAATGATTTAAGTGTAGTTTGAGAAGTGCTTAAATTTAAATTCTCAGAAACTGGATGTTACAATCTGGACTCCAATATATTACCTAATTTCTATATGTAGGAGACATATTAATTGTAATGAAATAGCATTAAGTAAAATGTAATTTTATAAATAAATATTATACTCACTTTTACAGTTTGCCAAAGGGTTAACAAGCTTTTTGAAGTACCAGAATAACAGTAAATATCCACTGTTTGTTTAGAAGATGGAAAATCACGATCTATTGTAGTGGAACCTCCTAACCAATGTACTATAATAAAATAACATAATGTACTTAAAAAACAACCTTAAGGATAATAAAAAAAACAGATTCATATTAGATTTTTGTAAATCTTACCATCATATGCTGCTGAATCTACACTGCAAATAAACATACACAACAAATATAATAAAGCACAATAGTTTCTTTTATTAGTCATAATCTGTATTATAAAATGTTAGTATAAAATTAGAGATTAATTAAATTAATTATCTATGCTGCAATTGTGCATAAAATGGTCATAAACACAGACTTAGTAGGTATCAGACGACCAACTTCCTAACAAAAAATTTATTCGTAGAACGTGATTGGGAGCCAGTGATACATGACAGCTTCATTCGTTTTAAATATTAAGATTTACTATCGGCAAAGGCATTTGGCTATACAGCCCTTTTTTGGGTAGGTACCTAACCGCCTTCCTATTTTCCATATTATTTTTACTTTAATTTAAATTCCTTTTATGTTTTAATACAACAATAATAAAAAAGCAGACTGATAAGTCTAGCTTATTATTATTGTTGTATTAAAACAAAAAAGGAAAAACGAACACGTAAATGAAACACACATTTTTCCAATATTATTTATTGAATAATTTATTTTTTAACTTATTATATTTTTCACAGCTTTCTTCTGCATTCTCGGCAATTCTTAGCTACGTTTTTTTAGTGGCACAACCTTATGAAACTTTTCAAGGTAATCACATATTTTTTAAAGAGGGCACTGATATTTGCATACCTTTTTATATACATATTTAAGGTTTTCTAAATTTTCAGTTGCCTTTGGCCAGAAAGAATGATGCTCTTTTCCTTTATGCTTCTTTTGTTTATCGATGCTCCATTGACACTATCAAATAATTGGTCAAAGAATGAAACAACTTCAGCTGTATTTCTTAATGTTGTACTGACGGGCCTGCCGTCCACATAAGTTGCTGCAAATTAAAATATTCATATAATAATTGTATGAAACTTGATTCAAAACTATTAACTGTTAGTAAATTTCATCTAATACTCACAGAAATTTGCAGTGTAAGACAAAGCTGCAGACATATTTTTACACAATTTTTTACCTGCAAAAAGAGATATCATGTTTAAAATTATCTTCATTAGAGAATCATTATTGTGATTGAAGTGTAAACTATATTAACTAATTGTTACATAATTAAAAATACAGGTCATTGAATCAACACTTGCTCTGATAGAGAATATAGAAGCTGAATACAAATTATTTCTTTTATTTATACTAATTGAAGTTATACTAATATAATAACCAATGCATTACCTTCATCATTTTATCAGGTATAACTCATTGGTCATTTAATTTATGACGTAGCCCAGCTTCAGTGTGTTGACAATCTGTCTAATAGACATAAATAATATCATGCCATTTTGCAAGTTTACTATCCAATATTAAATTTTTTGTTAAAAAATTGTTCCTGATACATTTTATCAAGTGTGTTGAATCATAATGTTCAAATCCACCCCACATATTTTAAGAATCCAACTGAAACAAAAATTTAAGAACTTCTTAAAACATAGATAACAATACGAGGGTCAAACTGAAAGTTCTTAGAAAATCAAAAACTGATTACATTAGCCAGTTATTAGTTTTATTATATCTTTTCAAAATATTGTCCATTCACGTCAATACACCGCTGCATGCGATGGAACCACTGGGAAAAGCACTTTGCCCACTCGTCCTTAGGGGTCTCTTCAATGGCATCGCGATACGCAGCCACCGCTTCTTCAGCATTCATAAACCGCTTTCCTTTAAGTTTTTCTTTAATTTTTGGAAATAAATAAAAATCACAAGGCGCGAGGTCGGGGCTATACGGCGGGTGACCCAGTAATTCAACGTTTGATGTCGCCAAATAGTCGATCGTTCGCTTGGCGGTGTGCGACGAGGCGTTGTCGTGGTGAAGGAGGATCCTACTGCGAGGTCGTTTCTCTCGAACTTTTTCCAAGACAAGTGGCAAACAATTGGTAGTGTACCATTCTGCAGAAACTGTTTTTTGATCCTCTAACACAATTGTTGCAAAATGACCTATCCTTCCAAAGAACGAGGCCACCATTTTTTTTCCCGCACTTCGATCTCTCTTCACTTTAGTTGGCAACTCCTCGAAAGGAAACACCCACTGAGCAGATTGTCTTTTGGTTTTAGGATCATAACAGTAAATCCAGCTTTCGTCACCTGTTAGTATGTCGAACACAGCATTTGAGTCACCTCCGTTAAATCTTTCAATCATTTTACGACACCAATCCACACGATGGAGTTTTTGAGCCTCAGTCAAATTATGAGGTATCCACCGGGCGCAAAGCTTCCTGACCGCTAAATGTTCGTGGAGGATTTTGTGCACTTGACTCATACCGATGCCTAAGCTTGTCCGAATCTGTTGATAGGTCACTCTTTTGTCAGTCTCTATCATACGCCGCACAACACAGATGTTATCTTCAGTCGTCGCCGTAGAAGGCCGTCCCTCACGTAAATCATCAGTGAGATTAGTGCGACCACGTTTAAACTCATTAAACCAGTTGTAAACAGTCGCACGAGATGGGGCTTCATCGTGAAAGGCCAATCGTAGTCTATCATAACTTTCTTGTTGACTTAAATGACATCGAAAGTCATAAAAAATCATTGCACGAAAATTTTCTCGTGTTAAATTCATGATGACGTGACACAGACAATTTTCAATTTGCCGCCAAATCGTAAAACAAATGACAAATGAATGAAATATATACTCAGTAATATTGGCAAAAAGTTATATTTTCAAATTTTAGAATCATTTTTTTATTATATTGTTTATAAGTGGCCAGTTCTAAGAACTTTCAGTTTGACCCTCGTATAAAAATAAGAACCTTCACTACTTTCATTAAATCTATTAGTTTTCTTTCATATAAATATAATTCTCTGTACCAACCTGTGATTTCAATTTAAAATTTGATTACACTTAGTGTCTTCTTTTAGATTTTTGAGTGCTGATTGGAAAGCTGAGCCTTGGTCATATATTATTGCGATGGGATTAAGGTCCAATTCAACCAATTTTCTACTACTAACTTTAAAATATTCTTGATGTACAGTAGATGTCGCTCCTTGACAGAAATACTAACATAAAGGCTGTTGCCACTTGTAAATAGCACCAACATAAATACAAGAGTATGATCTGCAAAATCCACTTTCTTTTCTTGGTGTTCTACAAATCCATTAATATTATCTTTAATCCTTATTACTTTTATTATACGAAAGTGCTTTTTCTAATGACATCTCATCAAATATGATGGAGCATATTTTTTTGGAGTTTCATTTGTCCACCTGAAAAAGTAAATTCAAATAGGTAGCATATTATTATTTTGTAGTAATACAAAAAAATTATAAAAGTAGTATGAAAAACCTTATATGGAATATATTTACCTCTTACATGAAGCCTGGTTCTATGATCAATTTTCTAATCATAGTATTCAGTGTAGTTTTGGATGATAAAATAAAAAATTTTGCTTAAAAATCAATAACACTTTGGACTCTGCTTTGATATTGATAAAGCAATTATCTTTTCTTCGGTAGTGAATCACCTCTCATGTTTATTTTTAGAGCACATGCTCACTTGAATTTCAAAATCATTTTTGCAACTGTGTTCATTTTTTGTCCGAACTTTTCAAATGATAACTTTTTACAATACTTAAAGGTATTTAAGTATTCGTAACTTTATGATAAAAGTTCAACTACGTATTTGGCTTGTTATATTCTGGTATAAAGGTGACAATTGGCTTTATTTGGTAATAAGCCTTTTTGTTTGGGTACATTTCACAGGGTCTGTAACATCAAAAGTATTCAGTGAATTTCTCTATTAGAACTACTATTTGATTGAAATAAAGATACACTTAAGAAAGAGACAAGTCTTACCAGATAATTTAGTTTGTGTCATATTTTAATCTCCAGAGCAAGCAACTAATTGTGTAAACTCAGTGGCTGCGACACAAGAGTCTCAATTTGTTCTTTTAAAATTACACCACCTATGAAATCAATATTGATTATGTTTGTAAGATTAAAAAACAGGATATAATCTTAGATGATATTAGAAATATGTTATTTATATTATCAATTTATTCTCTGATCAAAATCACTTCTAGCGTGCCCGCTATAGTTAAGTAATTTAATGTAATTTTTCTTTATGTGTGTAAGAAATAGAGATCTACTAGACTTTTTTAAAGCAAAAATCTATATTAAAATACACCAAAACTGTTGCTAAAATACACAAAGTTCATACTTTGTTATCTAAATAAAATAAATTAAAAACAAACCTCTGTTCAGTTCCACTTTCTAATATGTGTCGTCAACATGACTTTTTCTTGCATAGCTGTGTTCCCAAGTGAATATAATTTCTGTAATAAAAAAAAAATCTAATGAAGAATAGAGGTATTCCAAAACACAACATAAAGTGAAGATACATATCATTTTAACCCGTCTCGCGATTTTTTGAACACACAGGTGTGCAAACGCTTCAAGTGCGTTTTGTGACTTAATCGCGTGACGGGTTAATTACATTATCTAAAGGCAATAGCAGATTAAACCAGCCTTACCAGTATTGCTTGAAGAGGGTAGGCTGATTGAGAGCCCATCATCAATAAACAATGACGGATATGCATCACCCAAGCGTCATGATTTTGGAGTGATGAATCTTGGTACAACGTGTTTGCTACAAATGACACTTCTGGCTGGATTAAAATTTTCAGTATCACACACAGCACTAAGACATTGTAAACACTTGGAGAATCTTTTCTCGTTCACTAGAATCTTATAAAGAATAGCGTCCTGTTCGTACTTTAACAATGCGTGTAACGCAACCATAACACACCAATTTCTTAGGCATCTTCTACAAATAAAAATACTTCGAAAAATGGAGAGTTTATATTACAAATAAAGCGAAGACGGTAAGCACAAAATAGACTTTACTCAATCACTTGTAATTCCCTGATATGTACGTACATACTTTAGTCTTCTTCTTCTTTTATTAATAACATATCTGCGCATTTCACACAATTTTGCCAATGTGAAATAAATAAATTAATTCCAACATGTAAAATGAATTAAAGATTGATTAAAACATTACTATCTTTACTCTTTGTTGTAATGACAGTTTCTGTCAGGTGTCATGTCTCCATCTACTGACCGGGGTGAGGGGCGTGAGGAAATGTCATACATCACTGGACCCCTACGCGATTGGTTTATTGTATGGAGTTGACGGGCCGTGGTCATAAACCATAAAGATGACATTGACTAAAATTAATGC